TTTAATAAAGTAACAGGGCAGCTTTTCTGAGCCTGTAACTAAAATTTAGTTTTTAAGCCTTCCCAAAAGAGAGCTTCTGACACGATTAACTGGGCTACACTTAAAGAGATCGGCAAGAAGTGAGATAGTTGTAGGGTTATTAGTAGGAAGATTCCCTCCCTTCCCACAAGTTCTGGCATACAACGGATATTAAACTCTCCTCCCTACTTGGGTTTGCAGCGTGTCATTATCATTACCTTACTTTCTCCCACTTCATTCCACAAAGAAGAGCTACAAAAGTGCTTTTAACACGATGCATTTACCCGCTATGAGAGTTATCAGGACAGAAAATGGGCACAGCAATTCCTGAAACCCAGGGGCAATTGCATGGGTTGCGGTATAGTGTAGAAGGCAGATGTGTGTGGCTAGATTGCATGCTCCAATTACTGCTCAAACTATTCCTCTCCTCTAGGTCTGCTCACTTTAAAACTGCCCTTACCACCTTTAGAATTAGCCGCTCTCTGGAAGACATTTGTTCCCTTCTGAAGATGAGGTGTTGGGATCCTGCAAGTAGGAAGCTATAGCTGCCCGCCTCCAACAGGTGGAATTTTGTGAGGCAGGAGCAGGCAGGCAGTGTTTAAAGAACAGACATGAGTTAAGAAGGGACACAGGTAGTTTAAAGACCAACATGTCAAACATGTTTTCTATTGAACAGATTTCCAAAGCCTAAATGTTTATATATAAAGTGTTAAATGCATGTGTTTAAAGTGTCAATGAAATTCTGTTTGGAATTAAACAATCTCCATTTTGGCATTTGCAACCCAAACATTACAACAGAATGCTAGTGCATAAGAACGAGACAGTGAGAATTGATTCCAAGCTGGGAGAAATACAAGCAGTAAAAAACACAAGTGGTTAAAACACGTGAAATACTTTACTAATATTACATTTTTATAGTGTAACAGTGTAGGATTTTTCAGATGTGATCTTTAGTTTGACATTCCTTATAGTGGAAAAATTTGGCTTTGTCAGAGTTGTCCCATTTCATGGGCTTGCATTGCCATTTACTATCATAAAAGGTACTCCAGTTTGGAAAGCACACTAGTTTATCAGCAGTTATCTTTCATCACTTCTCCTGGATTAGGCAAAACAGTCTCAGGCATCAAACCAAGAGATCTGATACCTCCACTCTTTCCAATATTGTGTGCGCAGAAGACATGTATATCACTCCACTAAGCAAGTAAGGTTTAGAGAGATCTTTGGAGACAGCACAATTTCCTCCTAGCTTTAAATCATGCTTTCTACCATACTTCTAAAACCAGCGCTACGTACCTGGCAGAGAACATACTCCCAGAAACTGAGAACAATAGACAGCCGACAGGGCTAACCTACCAAAAGAAAATGCAGAATATAAACTTGAATTCCAGCTCAAGTTTTCAATACTAGACAGCTACTTTCTCAGTGGGGTTGTGGAAAAGTTATTCAGCAGTAGTCCAGTTTGAATAACAAGAATTACAGCCAGAAAACTTTGTAGTGTTTACTGATAAAAGAGAATCACATGTCCACACTACAACATTTTATTTCTGATCACATGTATCATACGCTTAAGTGTACACACACAGTGAAGAAGTTTTCACACTTCTGAGGTGTATATTAAAAGTAGCAATACTTCATTCCGAAACCATTTTACTATTTGATTAAATTTCACATTGCCTCCACTGTAAGAGCTATGGATCAAATCTTTTTAACCTACAACATCTTCACAGTGTATCAGAAATGATTAAGAATTAAGTTACTTGTGAATTAGAACAGGAGTACTTGTGGCACCTTAGAGATTAACAAATTTATTAGAGTATAAGCTTTCGTGGGCTATAGCCCACTTCTTCGGATGCTGTAGCCCATGAAAGCTTATACTCTAATAAATGTGTTCGTCTCTAAGGTGCCACAAGTACTCCTGTTCTTTTTGCGGATACAGACTAACACGGCTGCTACTCTGAAACTTGGGAATTAGAGTAAATGGATTTTAGTCACTCACAAGTTATGTTTTAATCAGAGTCTGGACTAATATCTTCAGGTTACAGAGAGACATGGCAGTTATACTAGCAAGTTTAGTTGTCATATATGTCCAGTGTTTGATTTCATTACTACAGGGGAACCCCGCTATAACGCGCTCTGCGATA